GGGATCACACCTGGTGGGCTTGGGGTACCCTATGGGATGCCTGGAAATCGAACCCAGGTTGGCAGCGTACAAGGCAAGCCCCCCTACCCACAATACTGTTTCTCTCGCCTCTTTTTTGGGGGGGTGGGGCACACCCAGCTGTGTCAAGGGCTTAATCCTGTCTCTGCACTCGGACTGTGTGGGGTGCTGGGGATTGAACCCGGGTCGGCTGCTTTTAAGACCAGCTGCTTTTAAGGCCAGCACCTTATCCGGTGTATAATTGCTCCAGCCCCACAAGACAACTTTTTATTTGGCTTACAAGAGTGTTTTAGGAATACAGCTCCATGCCTTTTCAGATGTATGTCACCACACCAGGCCAGACCCAAACCCAGGACCAATATCCCTTTCCTCAGTCCTTTGGGACCCTGTTCCTGCCTCCTGCTCTGGTAATCTAAGTCCTCGGGTTTGTTGTTTTTGTTTGACTTGGCCCCCTGCTTTTTTCCATCCCATGTATAAATGGGGTCACGCTTTATTTGTCTTCCTCCTTCACACTTATTCACTAATCTGACCCCCTCCTGTTCCTTCAGAGGTGCCAAATAGAGGCCTCTTTTGTCCCTGGACCACACCCAGTGGTTATCAGGGGTTCTGGCTCTGCACTCAGGGATCACTCCTGGCAGTGCTCAGGGGACCATATGGGATGCCGGGGATTGAACCCAGCTCTGCCACGCGTGGAGGCAAATACCCTACCCGCTGTGCTATCACTCGGGGCCATGTGCCCCATCTTCTTCATCCGCGTGTCCATCAGTGAGCCCTGGCTTGTTTCCAAGGCTTGGCTATTATACACAACACCGCAGCGACCTGCTAGGGCTGTGGATGGTCTCTGTGAGTCAGGGATTTTGTATCCTTCCGATAAATATCACCAAGTGGAATGGCCAGGTCCTAAGGTTATTTCTAGTCTTGGTATTTTTCACCATACTGTTTTCTGTGCTGACTGCTCCCACTCACTCCCACCAACCAACGTGCTGTGACCTTTCTTCCACATCCTCACCCGCCCTTGCTGGTTCTTGTTTTCACAATAGCCGTTCTCATGGGCTTGAGGCAGTCAAGCTCTCTCTCGGTGGCTGTGACTGGCTGTTTGCCTCAACCTCCTGTCAGGTGCTATCTGTGTGTTTTCTTTGGAGAAATATCTTGGGCCAGAGAGATAGTCCGGGGATTTAGATTTTTTTTTTTTTTTTTTTTTTTTTTAGTCATACCCGGTGATGCTCCGGGGTTATTCCTGGCTCTGCACTCAGGAATCACTGCTGGTGGTGCTTAGGAAACTATATGGGATGTTGGCTGCGTGCAAGGCAAATGTCTTATCCGCTGTATTATGGCTCTGGCCCCTAGTCTGGGGATTTTGGCATTTACCTTGCACATAGCTGACCCTGGGCACTAAATGGTCTCCTGAGACCTGTCAAGAGTGATCTCTGAGCACAGAGCCATGAGTCAGCCCTGAACACCCTAGATATGCCCCCCCCCAAACAAACAAACTAAAGATCCTCTGCCCTTTTGGTGGGGTTGGAATGTTATTGGTTCATACTAGGATTTGTTCAGGGGTTGTTACGAGGCTTGGGTACCACTGGGTCCCAGAATTTAAACCAGACCTCCTGTGTACAAGGCAAGTGCTCAGTCCTGCTGACAGTGGTCTCAGCACTCTATTATTTTTTTTCTTAAACTTTTATTAGTGAAACACCATGAGGTACAGTTGTGGCCTTACAAATTTTTGTGCTTGGGTTTCAGTTATGCAATGATCGAGTACCCATCCCTCCACCAGTGCCCGTTCTCCACCACCAATGATCCCGGTATCCCTCCCACCCCCTATCCCCCCATCCCACCCCACCCCTGTGGCAGGGCATTCCCTTTTGTTCTCTCTCTCCTTTTGGGTGCTGTGGTTTGCAAAAGAGGCATTGAGTGGCAATTATGTTCGGTCTATAGTCTACTCTCATCACGCATTTCCCATCCCAAAAGGAACCTCCCAACACCCTTTATTTGGTCAGCACTCTATTTTTAAAAACAGATTTTATTCTACTTTTTAATATCCTTATTGAATCATCAAGCATTGCAAAGCTGTTTATGATTGGGTTTCAGTCGTGCAGTTCCAACACCTATTGCTCCACCGGTGTTACTTCCTGGCACCAGTGTCCCCAGGTTCCCTCCCACCCATGCTCAACTCCCCTAGCCAGCCAGGAGTTATTCCGGAATCCAGAGGCAGAATTCCTGAGCACTGCTGGGTGTGGCCCCCAAACAAAAACAAAGCAACAACAACAACAAACAAGATAACACATCCAAATCTCTAATGGATACAGGCCCCCCAGGCTTGCAGTGATGAGTCTTGAACCCCAGCATTGTTCCCACCAGGTTCCCACAGAAACCAGCTTGTTCCCGTTCAGATGTTCGCACACCAGGGGCCTGCTCACCCCCGCTCCACCAACACGGGCACAGTAAATCCCAGCAGAGATCAAGGAGCTGAGGGCCGGGGACGTGGTCCGGCAAGTCGTGAGCCCCTGGGTTCGATCCCCAACCCTGCATATGGTCCCCCCAGCACCACCAATTGGATGTGGCCCCTTCTCCCAGCCGTCTCAAAAATGTTGATTCTAGGGAGCAATAGTACAGCGGGTATTTGCCTTGCATGCAGCTGACCCGGGTTTGATCTCCTGTACCTCATATGGTCCTCCCACCCCCCCCCTCCCCCCCCCAGCCCACCAGGAGTGATCTCTGAGTGCAGAGCCAGGAGTAAGCCCTGAATACCACCACCAGATGTGGCCTACAACAAAAACCAAAACAAATCAACAATCACAATTGTTGATTCTTTCAAGCCCTGGGATTGGGATGTCTGAAACCCTGTGGGTTATCCCCTTCTCTCATATGAGTTTTCGTGCTCATCAGAACAAAACTAACTCTATTTCACTTCATTCTGTGAGAGAGAGAGAGAGAGAGGAGAGACAGAAAGAGAAGAGAGAAACAGAGACCGAGAGAGACAGAGAGACAGAGAAAGAGAGAGAGCGAGACGGGGAGGAAGGGTGGGGGCCAGGTATGGAACCCGTATCTACATCCGTTGCCTCTGAGCTAATCCCTGGCCCACATCTCCCACCTTGGCCCCAGCTCGTCCTGCGTGCTCTCTGCCTTCCACTCGCTGATGAATGGGAGGGGACAGACAGAAAGGACAGGGTGGTCCCTCGTTCCCTTTCCTCCTGCGTGTTTGTTTTGTTATTGTTTGTTCTGGGCTCACATCCTCGGCTGTCCTCAGGGATGACTCCTGGTGGGGCTGGAGGGAAGGGAAGAGGGATGAGGGACCCTATGCTGGGATCCAAAGGAGGTGGGTGGTGTGCAGACAAGTGCCTTAACCTTCCCTTTAACCACCCCCACCCCACCCCAGCCCCACCTCCCACTATCTCCGAGGCTCCCCTATTGGTCTCTTTTGTTTTCAGTGAAAAAAATGTCAGTTGTGCCAAACTAACTTAGCACCCCCCCCCCCCCCCCCCGCTTCCCTTCCCTGTTGTTGCCACAACCGGGGTTGTTAGCTGCTGTGCTTTCCCCACTGACTCCCCAAGATCTGCACCCCTTTATTTGCAGGACTTGGCCCTCAGCCCTGGTGGCCTAGGCTGGCACTCTTAGAAGGGGCTCACAGGTTTTTTTGTGTGTTGTTTGGTTTGGGTTACCCAAACCAAACTTACCCTGAGCATCTTACCCAGCAGATGCTCAGGGTAAGTTAACACCTGGCTTTTCACTCAGGATCCACTCGGCAAATGTTGGGGCCCTATTTGGGATGCCCGGGCTCTAACCCAGGTCAGCCGCGTGGAAAGCAAGCGCTGTATCCTACACGCTTGCCCACACACGTGCGCACCAGGGGGTCCCACTTCCCAGCAATCACATTGGCATGTCTTTTTAAATTGCTGGTGTCCTCCCAGCCCTGCTCCCCTGCAGTGCTCTGCCAGAAATAGCTTTCACAAGGGCAGTGGAAGCCGACTCCACCTACAAGGCACCTGTTCAAAGATAAGGCCAGAGGCATTTCTAGAGGATGAGCACAGATCCTGGAGGGCAGGCCCTCCCCCCACCCCCTACGACAGTTGGGGGGCTGCCCCAGTAATGCCTGTGCACTGGTGTTCTGGTTGGAGGGCGGTGCCTTGCAAACTCCCCCCACATCCCCCCACCCCTGTTCTGGGTGCTGCCCCAGGGCCTGGCGTGGTGGCAGGAGGCAGCGGGAAGGAATGTGGTTCACAGATCCAAATAGAATTTGCCAATCACATACACACACACACACACACACACACACACACACAAAACCAGCCCTATGCACTGGTAGTCTCTGCAGCTTGACCTCTTGTTTCCTGGGTCCTGGGCAGCAGCATCCTGTCCCCTGGGGCTTGTCAGAAATGTCAGTTTCCTGCCAGACCCATAGTTCAGTGGGTAGGGTGTTCGCCTTGCATGCGGCCCACCCACACGTTCGATTCCCTGCATCCCATATGGTTCCCTGGGCACCGCCAGGAGTAATTCCTGAGCGCAGTCAAGAGTCTGAGCATGCCTGGTGTGGCCCCAAAGCAAAATAACAACAAGTTCCACAGGAGCCCAGATTTATTCTGGTAAGGTGGCTGCTTTGCACGCAGCTCACCGGGGTTTGGTCCACAGTATCCCATTCCATCCCATCCCTGAGCACAGAGCCAGGAGTAACCCCTGAGCATCGCCAGCTGTGACCCAAAAGCCAAAAAGTCAGTTCCCAGGCCCAGAACGGCTGAGAGGCAAACACCGGGGCTGGGTCCCGGCACCCCTGTCGAAGTCCTCGTCGCCACCAGGCTTTGAGTTCTGTGTCCCCTCCCTCCGACCCCTGACCCCCGCGGGCTGACAGCTCAGGGGGTGCATTCGTCTGAGCAAACCGGTTTGTAGGAACACAGGAGCACGCACTGTAAGGGCTAGGGAAGGTGGGGACGCGGGGGCGTGGCAGCCGGGACTGAACGGAGAACCCCCCCTCACTTCCCCCCTCGCAGGTACAGTCTGTACACGCGCACCTGGCTCGGGTACCTCTTCTACCGCCAGCAGCTGCGCCGAGCACGGAACCGCTACCCCAAGGGCCACTCCAGGACCCAGCCCCGCCTCTTCAACGGTGAGCCCCGCCCCCGCCCCGCCTCTTCAACGATCAGCCACGCCCCAGTCCCACCTCCTCAATGGTCAGTCCCTCCCCGGCCCCGCCTCTTCCACTGCAAGCCCCGCCTTCCCGCCTCTTCATTGGTCGGCTGTGCCCCGCCTCTTTAACGATCAGCCACGCCCCAGTCCCACCTCCTCAATGGTCAGCCCCTCCCTGGCCCCGCCTCTTCCATGGCAAGCCCCACCCTCCAGCCTCTTTATTGGTCAGCCACGCCCCACCTTTAGCACCGCCTCTTTAATGATCAGCCACGCCCCAATCCCACCTCTCCAATGGTCATCCCCACCCCAACCCCGCCTCTTTGGTGGTAAGACCTGCCCTCCCCGCATCGTCATTGGTCAGCCCTGCCCCATCCATCCCCGGTTCTTCGGGGATTAGCCCCGCCCCACTCTTGTCCCCTTTCCTCCACTGGGCACTCTGGACCCCTCCACCCTGTCTCTGTCCCCCAGGAGTGAAGGTGCTTCCCATCCCCGTCCTCTCGGACAACTACAGCTACCTCATCATCGACACCCAGGCCCGGCTGGCTGTGGCTGTGGACCCCTCCGACCCTCAAGCCGTGCAGGTGAGGGCGCCGACGACGATGGGGTCAGGTCTCCCTGATTCAGGGTCACCTTGGGTACTGGCAGCTTCTGCTGGCAAGGGTGGGCTAACCCTGATCCCGCCATCTATGGGAGGTGCCCCTTTCACCTGCACTGGATCATAGCCCCCCCTCTCAATCCAGCAAGGTCAGGGAGAGTGAGGGTCAGGGCATGACTGGAGAGAGGGGAGAACGGGTGTGGGGTGTGACTTTCCTCTGAGTCCCCTCTTTATCCTCAGTCCATCGGACTTCCCCCTACTTTCTCCCATCTTATTTCTCTGTGTGGGAGGGCAGCCTCCCTCTGCCCTGGGGCATATGGGGTCAGCCCATGGGGGCTCCTTTCTTTCCTCGCTGCTCCCAGTTCTCCCCTCAGACCCCCCCTCGCTGTCCCCTCCCTCTCCGTCTCTCAGGGAGGGCTCCCATTCTCTGCTTCCTCCTCCCACTGCATCCTGCCCCCCCTCCCCACTCACTACCTCCTCTCTCCTCAGGCTTCCATTGAAAAGGAGGGCGTTAACCTGGTTGCCATTCTCTGCACCCACAAGCACTGGTAAGGGGGTGCAGTGGGGAAATCTGAGTGGAGAAGGTTTCCCCTAGCTGACCCGGGCCCTGACTGCTTTGCCAGGGATTCACTGGGAGACCAGCGGGCCTGGGGGTCAGGAGGTCTAGGCGGAGGGCTGTCCCCTGCCTCCTGAGGTACCTGGGGAGGAGATGGAGGGAGGGGGCTGGTCTCAGAGGCAGCACAGGTTAGACTGTGTGTGCCCCAAAAGACCTGGCAAATCTGGACTTGATGGGCAGGAAGTGCCCATGGTGGTGGTGTTTGGGCCAGAGTGAGCGGCTGGAGGAAAGGGGGCTCATGGGATCGGGGTGGGGGCAGGTAGGGGTCACAGGATCAGGATGACGTGGTAGATGGCGGGGTGTCAGGATTAGGGTGAAGTGGCAGGCAGGGATTCACGGGATTAGGGTGAGGTGGCAGGTGGGGGTTCACAGGATCAGAGGGAGGTGGTGGGTGGGTATCACGGGAGGGACTAGAGGTTGGCAGCCCTGGCGTTCAGAATTGGGGAACATCATTTGTCCTGGTGAAAAGGTGGGGAGAGGAAGGTGAGGATCAGTGACCCAGGAGAACCACTTGAACAAAGGCTTAGAGCCTGGCCCCCTCTAGAAGGTGGACCCAGCCCAAGGTCTGGAGGCCCCCTAGGACAGCAGCTGAGCTCAACCCTGCCTGTCTCTGTTACCCTCCAGGGACCACAGTGGCGGGAACCGTGACCTCAGTCGGAGGCACCAGGACTGTCGTGTGTACGGGAGCCCCCAGGACGGCATTCCCTACCTCACCCAGTGAGTGTCCGGCCCACCGGCGGGGTCTCTGCCCACCTGCAGTCCAGCCTGCCAGGGCTGTCGGCGCGGGGAGCTTTGTGGACGCCCTTCCTGCTCCCAGATCACAGCCTAGCCACGGACTCCGGACACTCACCGCTGCCCACCCGCAGCTGACTCAGCCTGGCTCCCCAGAGAGGGAGAGGGAGTGTTTGGATCTGAACCGTGGGCCTGGGGCTGGGGAGGGGGAAGGTGTCCTCTCGCTCTCTCCTTTCTCCCTCCTTCCATCTCCTGCCAGTCACCCAGTCCCTGGCCTGGGGTGGGGTGGGGGTGGGGGACACAAGGCTCAGCCTGGCAGGAGTCTAGAACCTTCTCTTCCCTCTTGCTGCCTTGCCCCTCAGTCCCTTGTGTCATCAAGATGTGGTCAGCGTGGGACGACTCCAGATCCGGGCTCTGGCCACCCCCGGCCACACGCAAGGCCATCTGGTCTACCTGCTGGATGGGGAGCCCTACAAGGGGCCCTCCTGCCTCTTCTCAGGCGACCTGCTCTTCCTCTCTGGCTGTGGTGAGTTTCCTTTAAGGGGAAGAAGGGGTGCCAGGACCGCCTCTCTCCCGCCAGCGCATTAATCCATCCTCAGCACAGATGTTTCTGAGCAGTTACCCCTCGGTTACCCCTGTTTTTCCCAGTCTCACGCCTTCCCACAGGATGCCTGTGACCAACAGCCAGGGGCACACAGCTGGGACACATGTTTCTTTCCACTCGGTGGGAACCTGCTTTTCTGATCTAGTGACTGGCAGGGTCCAGTTACAAAAGGGGGAGAATCTTGGGCCAGAGAGATAGGACCGCAGGTCAGATGCTTTTGCCTTGTGTGTGGCTGACCCTGCTTCAGTCCCTGGAACCGTATATGATTCCCCTGGACCCCTCCCAGGCGAGATCCCCGAGCACAGAGCCAGGAGTAAGCCCTGGAGTCAGGAGCACCACCGACTGTGGCTCACAAATTTGCTCACAGCCAAAGAGAGTGTGGAGAATGTGGAGGAGATACGACTCAGTGGGTGGGGTGCAGACTCCAGGGGCCAGGCTTCATAGCTGGCTCCCCCAAACAGAACAGAACAAAGGCCGAAGACCTCTGACTGAGAAGGGAGAGACCAAGTCCTAAAGTGCATGGATCACACACAAGCACACACACACACACACACACACACTCATGCACACACACGCGCATACTCACATGCACATGCACACATGCACACACACGCACACTCACACACGCACACTCATACATGCACGCACACACACAGACTCACATACACATTCACACACACACACACACACATACATACACACACAGCAACAGCAGCACAGGGAGAGAGGAGGTGCCATGTGGGAAATACCAAGAACTGAGGTGCTCAGAGGCTGCCTGCAGGCTTGACTTCTGCCTTCCCGCGTCCGTGTGTCCAGTGGAGGCCTTGCAAGGGTCAGCGGGCTTGGTGGATGGACCCAGATCCCTAGGGAAGTAAGACGACTGGGAGGCGCCCTGCCAGGGCCAGGTGTGGGGTCCGGTGACCAGCCAGCGCCCACCAGGTGTTCTTCCACCCATCCCTCTGACTTTGCGCTTTGTATCACTCCCTGCAGGACGGACCTTTGAGGGCACGGCGGAGACCATGCTGAGCTCGCTGGACACTGTGCTGGGACTAGGGGATGACACGCTCCTGTGGCCTGGTAAGGGCTCTTCCTTCCCCCAAGCCCCGCCCCTCCAAAGCCCCGCCCCTCTTCTTGCCCGCCAACACGTGGGTGATAAATCTTCGCCTTTGGTGTCCCAGGATCCCTCTGCAAGAGCACATTGTCACCCAGGGGCCGCGGGTCAGAGCTTCCCTCCTCGTTGGGCACCCTCTAAGCCCTCACTTAATGCCGTGATACCTAAGGAGCACAGCAGCATTATTTTTTTTAATTTTTATTTATTTTTATTTTTTGCTTTTTGGGTCATACCCGGCGATGCACAGGGGTTACTCCTGGCTCTGCACTCAGGAGTTACTCCTGGCGGTGCTCAGGGGACCATATGGGATGCTGGAAATCGAACCCGGGTCGGCTGCGTGCAAGGCAAACGCCCTACCCGCTGTGCTATCTCTCCAGCCCCACACAGCAGCTTTAAACCGGAGCCACGTCTCACAAGACGCATTGGATCACAGGCTGACCCAAACAGGAACAAAGCACACTTGGCATATTGCTGGTCACAAACGCATCGCCAGACATCTAGATCAACAGCTAGAAACACTTCTTTTTTTTCTTTTTTCTTTTTCTTTCTTTTTTGGGCCACACCCAGCGAGGCACAGGACTTACTCCTGGCTCTGCACTCAGGAATCACTCCTGGTGGTGCTCGGGGGACCATATGGGATGCCGGAGATCGAACCCTCCTTGGCCGAGTGCAAAGCAAATGCCCTCCCCACAGTACTATTGCTGCTGCCCCCAGAAACACTTCTAATGTTGGACCGACATTCGTATTCATTCATTCATTCATTCATTCATTCATTCAATTTTCAGCCTGCTTACTTCTAACTCGAAGCTGCAGGTGAACAAAATCAATTCTGGGGACTCAGAGGGTGAGGTGGGGCCAACCCTGAGCAGGAAGGGGCTGTTGAGGATGGCTCAGACTGGGACCACCCTCCCTGCCTCCCAAGGGAGCCTGGCCTGCCTGCTTTGGGGGGTGGGAGGGAAGCTACCGGGAGAAAACCCTCATTCTGACACTACCAGCTGCTCAGAGCGTGGACCCTTCTGGGCCTCCTAGGACAGTGACAGGCAGCAGATGATGTTGTCTGAGGCTGTATGCGGGCTCCTTCTCTACTGTACGTCTCACTTGCAGTCCTGATCAGCCCGCACCCGAGGGACGCTGGCCCTTTCTTAGTCAGACCCCCGGGCAGGATGCTGCATGCACGGCCTGGGTGGGTCGCCCACACAGCCCCTGTCCATGCAGTGTAGCCGTCAGCTCAGGGCTCTGACCTCTTCCAACCCGGGGCATGGATGGTGCCGGTGCAAACACAGACACACACCACACACAGGCCGGTATGCACACCCACGCACAGATCCACCCACACGTGCACACATCCACCGACACACCCGTCCACAAGGGGTGCGGTACTTTACTGTGCTCTTAGCAGGCTCTGTGTTCAGGTGGTCATTGCTTCTCTACTTGCCAGGTGAGCTCGCCAGTGGCCACAGGTGCTAGGTAGAGCCCGCCCACGCCACGCCCATCCACCAGCACCCCTGGATCACTCCGAGTGCCTCCTCCCTCTGGGTGCCCAGTTTCCAGAAGCAGCTCTGAGCTGGAGCGGGGGCGTTTGGGAAGCTCTGCCCTTCTCCCTGGTGGTCAGGACCCCCCCAGAGCCCTGGAAGGAGGATGGTGTGTGTGTGTGTGGGTGTGTGGGTGTGGGAGTGGGGAGGTTCCGACCGCCCCGCCCCTTTCCCCCTGCCCTTAGGTCACGAGTACGCAGAGGAGAACCTGGGCTTTGCGGGCGTGGTGGAGCCCGAGAATCTGGCCCGGGAGCGGAAGATGCAGTGGGTGCAGCGGCAGCGGATGGAGCGCAGGAGCACGGTGCGTGTGGGGAGGGGGCCCTGTGGGAAGCGGGGTGGGTGTCCCCGGGCTTCCAGTGGCGGGGGAGGACGCCCCCACCAAGTCCGGCCCCCGTCTCGTCCACCCTCAGTGCCCGTCCACGCTGGGCGAGGAGCGCTCCTACAACCCGTTCCTGCGGACGCACTGCCTGGTGCTGCAGGAGGCGTTGGGCCCCGGCGGCCCCGGGGACGATGGCTACTCTCGGGCCGAGCTCCTGGAGAAGCTGCGCCGGCTGAAGGACCTGCACAAGAGCAAGTGACGCCCCCCTGCGCCCAGCGCGCCCACCGCCCCTCCCCCGCCCCCACCCACACCCCTCATCTCTCTCATTGCGCCCACCGCCACCTCCACGGGTGACCCTTCCCGACACTGCGCAGGGGCTGAGAGGGTCCAAGGTGATGGGGACCTGTTAGCCTGGGTCCTCGGGACCCCCCCCCAACAGAAAGCGACACTCCACCCCCCACCAGCAGCACCACCACCACCTCCCTTCCCCATCCCGGCCGAGAGGACCCAGGCGCTGGAGCCTTGGGGACAGCCAGAAGGTCCCTCTCCACCTGCTTCTCCCCTCCAGGGTAGGAAAAGAAATGCAGCCCCCCCCACCCCCCAGAGTGACCCGGAATGTGCATTGGTCAGAGGGGGGGTCCTCCTTGGGGAGACCCTGTTGGACAGGGGCATCTGAGAAAGCCCAAGTCTGCTGGCTCGGTGGCTGCCTTACAGCCCCGAAGATGGGGTAGGGGGTCTTGCTCCCGAGGAAACCCAGACCTCATCGTGAGGAGACCCTGGAAGCCAGGAAGCCCCTCCATGCCACGGGTCCCACGCAGCCCCTCACAGCGGGCCCAGGCCTGCCCGTGGCCTCTGCCCCTGCCCTGGGCCCAGAAGGCCCATCCCCTCCCAGGGGAGAGAGTGCCACCGCCGGCCTCAGCCCGCTGCCTCCTCCTTTGCCCCTCGGTCTTGGCGCTGCTAACGCCTGCTCCTGCCTCAGCCCCTTGCCCCTCTCACTTAAGTAAAGACTGTTCATCTGGCCCTTAGCAGTTTGCCAAGAACGTTTCCCACACGGCCCTCACCCAGTCCTTGGTCCCGTCCAAGCCAGGGAAGCTTGGGGAAGGTGGCGGTCGTCCTGGGTCCTTAAGTGAGTGGAAGATTCCCAGGATACCAGGCTCAGCCCTCCTTTCAGCTCATTTTCTCCCCCAGATGCCCCAGGTTCTGGAGGGTTCCAGAGGGTTCCAGAGGGTTCTAGAAGGTTCCAGAGCCTTCCATCAAAAAGGAACCCTTTGGACCCCGTCCATCATTACCTGGGGCCAACCAGGAGCTCTCTCTCTCTCTCTTTCTCTCTCTCTCTCTCTCTCTCTCTCCCTCTCCCTGGACCCCCACCATCCCACAAAGCTCTGATCACCTCTGGCGAGGCTCCAAGATGATCCCTGGCCTGCCCACCCTCATCTTCCTCTCCTGCCTCTGCCTCCCCCCACCCTTCTTGAGCACAGCCTCTGGCACCAACTCTAGCAATACCGTCAGACTAGTTAGATCCCAGCCTTCCCCAGACCTGCCATCCTGCCTCTGTGCCTTCGCTCCCGCTCCCTCCAGACTGGAATGCCTTTCCCTGCCCCTCCCGCCCGGTCTGCCTGGCAAAACCCCATTTCATCTCTCGACACCCCCCTCTCCAAGGCCCCTTCCTCCAGGAAGACGGCCCTCATGCCCCTCCCCCACCAGGCTACCTCCGCTCTTTGTAAATGCTTCTTCTCCCGTGACCCCCCCTTCACACTGTATTTTACTGTTTACACGTTTGTCCGTCTCTTCCCCTTCTAGACTGTGAACCCTACAGGGCATGGACTGTATCTTATGCATCTCTGTATTTCCGCGCCTAGCACGGTGCCTGGAACACAGTAGGCGCTCAATAAATGTTCAATAAATGAATGAATGATTTCACCGAAGCTTGGGTGCTCAGTGGGCCTGTGTTTTCTCACTGGTTCCGCCTCCCTGTCTGGATTTCAGGTCCCTGGGCATGGCGTTTCTGTTCTCTGCCAGCAACAGCACCAAGACAACCTCCTGCCCTCCTGGGGCCCGTGCACATTTGTCCTGGGGTCTCTGCCTGCTTCCTTCCATGTTTCTCAGAGCTTAAGGTGCTCAGGGACCTTGGACAGTTGGATCTGATTCCAGCCCAGTAGTGAATTACACTTCAGTAGCACTAGCATAGGCCTGGGCATGGTGCTCTCTCTCTCTCTCTCTCTCTCTCTCTCTCTCTCTCTCTCTGTAATGTAGCACTGTAGCACTGTCCTCCCATTGTTTATCAATTTGCTCAACTGAGCACCAGTAACCTCTCTATTGTGAGACTTCTTTTTACCCTTTTTGGCATATTGAATACATCACGGGTAGCTAGCCAGGCCTTTGACGTGTGGGCGTGAATACGCTCAGTGGCTTGCTGGGCTTTCTGAGTGGGTAGGAGGAATTGAACTGGGATCGGCCTGGGTCGGCCGCTTGCAAGGCAAGCGCCCTACCTGCTGTGCTATCACTCCAGCCCTCTCAAATGTAGGAGTGCTGCTATTTATTCAGTCACTGATAAGCTGGTTGAATCAGGCATGAACTCCACATTACTTTGTTTTTAATTTTTTTTCATCGAATCACCACGAGATAGCCCATTACAAAGCTGTTCAAAATTGGGTTTCAGTCATACAATGATCCAGCACCCCTCCCTCCACCAGTGTACATTTCCCAGCACCACTGTCCCCTGTTTCCCTCCCACCATCCCCAACACCCCACACTCCACCCCCAGCTACCCTCTATGGTAGGCATATTCCTTATTCTCTCTCCTTTTCCTTTTGTACACTATGGCTTGCAATACAGGTGCTAAAAGGTCATGGTGCTTGTTCAGGGCATTCAGTATTTTTATCGGGATAGTAAGGCTGGAGTAGTTTTTTAACTGGGTGGCAGCTTTGGGATGTGGATGTGACTGCAGAGGCTTCCAGAAGTACAGGGAGGTGGGGGGAGGTAGCCCATCCTGACCCTGAGAAAGCCTGGAGATTTCAGTCACAAAACCTGCATAGCAGAATTTTCAGGAGATTGTGTTTTGGTGAGGTCCGTCCTGAAATGGTGGAGTCAGACGGGGGTTATGGCAGCGATTTTGGACTGTGGAAGCAAGTAACTGCAGGGGTCCCTCTCTTTCCCTCCCTCTTACTCTCCCTCCCTCCCTCTCTCTCTCTCTATCCCTCTCTTTTAGTTTTTGGGTCACCCCCAGCAGTGCTCAGGGGTTACTCTTGACTGCATTCAGGAGGAATGCGTCCCGCTTGGGGTACCGTATGGAGTGCTGGGGATTGAACCTAGGTCGGGAATATGCATGGCAAGCACCCTACCTATTGTATTACCTCTCCAGCCCTTTTTGTTTTGTTTTTATTTTGTTTGGGGGGGAGGGGAACCATACCCATGGTTGCTCCTGGCTCTGCACTCTGGAATCTCTCTCAGCAGTGCTCAGGAGGCCATATGAGATGTCTGGGTTTGAACCTGGGTCAGCCACGTGCAAGATAAGTATCTTGTCCGCTGTACTCTCTCTGGACCTTGTTTTGTTTTATTCGGGGGCTTCACCCAGCAATACCAACGATTACTCCTGGCTTTGTGCTCAAGAATCACTCCTGGCAGTGCTCAGAGGACCACATGGGATACTAGGGATCAAATCCAGATCAGGTGCATGCAAAGCAAGTGTTCTACCCCCTGTATGCCTAATAAAGACAAAATTCACCCAGAAAAACAACGAAAAAAAAAAAAACAGCAGCCAGTGCCCAGAGCACTCATGCAGGGGTTAGAGTGTCTGCCTTTCAAGCATGTGGTCACAAGGTCCTTGGGGTCCCAAATGTGCCGAGCCGCATATGGTATGTGAGAGCAGCAGAAAGAAGAGTGTGACTCCTCATGAACACAATAAAAAAAGACGTTGAGTGCCAAGGCCAGGGAGAGCGAGCACGTGTGTGGGCTCTGCAGTGCTCGCCACCCCCCGGCAAGCACCACAACCATCGCTGAGTCTCAGAGAAGAGAGCAAGCCCCAGTGAGCACCGTGCAAGCACCTAGAAAAGTACAGACCCCGGGGAGCACCAAGGCCGAGTGGGCAAGTACCCCCAACCCCCAGTGAGCACCACCACTAAAACTTTGCAGGGCTGGAAGGCCAGGACAGGGGTGAGGCGCTGGCCTTGCACGCGACCGACCCTGGGATGATCCCAAATATGGACAGAGTCTCCCAGGCACCTTCGGGAGAGAGCCCTGAACACTGAGTCCAGAATAAGCCCTGACCTGAGCTTGGTGTGGCCCCTCCCACCCCCCCCCAAAAAATTCTCCTGGGCCAAGAGTTAGTACATGGCTTAAGGCACCATGCGAGGCTGTGCACCAGGCCGTGAGCTCTCTCCAGCCCCTGCTGCTCTTAGGAAGCTGGTGCTAGCCGGATGCGTTTGCCACCACGCACCACCTCCAAACTCTACAGCACTGACATCCCTGTAGGAGCACTCCACACGTGAGGGGAGCATAATGCACAAGCCAGCCGATCTCAACAACAAAAAGCATTCACCCAGAAGGCTTAACTTGCTACAACAGCTTAGTAAACCCTCATACAAGAACTGAAAGGTCCCCAGGGTGAGATACAACAATTTTCACAAATTTTCTTCGATAGGAATTTTTTTTTCTTTTTGGGTCACACCTGGCGATGCACAGGAGTTACTCCTGGCTCTGCACTCAGGAGTTACTCCTGGTGGTGCTCAGGGGACCATATGGGATGCTGGGAATTGAACCCGGGTCGACCGCGTACAAGGCAAACGCCCTACCCGCTGTGCTACAATAAAAATATTTTCTTAATCATTCCATTAGCCATTTCCTGGTAACAGGCAATGTAAAAGAAATTATGGTGGGCCTGCTATGGGGGCAGGCGTGAGGGGTGGCTGGGAAAACGGGGACAATGGTGGAGGGAAGGTGACAGTGGTGATGGGATTGGGGTTGGAATGTCGAATTCCTGGAACAAATCATCACGAAAATAAAAAAAAAAAAAGTGAAGTTGGAAGGAAAAAAATAAATGGGCCCTGACTCGCCAAGGTCATTAGATCCATGTGACTGAGCACAAGGCAAGTGACATCGGTTTCTCCTCTGTCCCTCAGGGATGATCCTAGCACACAGGCAGATAGCAGATTGCTGTAAGGACTATTTATTTATACATTCACATCTGGTCTCTCCTTTCGGTTTTGTTTTTTTGGACCACATCCAGCGATGCTCAGGGGTTACTCCTGGCTCTGCACTCAGGAATTACTCCCCACGGTCGTGGGGGACCCTATGGGGTGCTGGGAACTGAACCCGGGTCGGCTGCATGCAAAGCAAGGTCTCACCTGGTGTGCTCTCTCCGGACCCTCTTTTTTTCAATTGTGTTTTAGTGTGAGGAAGTGACCCCAGGTCCCATGCATACAAGGAGGGACTTTCCCGCAAAACCACATGCCCTAACTCCTGGCCTCTCAGTGTGACTGAGTGACCGGTAGTGGCTTGGCAGCTGCCAACCCCAGCAGCTGGGGGGACAGATTGTTCCTCTCATGGGTTCAGAGGGGCCAAGTTGCCCACTGGCACACAGCGAGCTGGTCAGCCCCTCCTGCTGGCCCTTCATGCCCACTGGCAGGGATGATAACCTGGTGTCCATCTGTGAGCCACTTGGCAAATTGCTTCTCCCCTTGCAGCTGAAGAAAAAAAAAAAGCGAAACAAAACATGTGCCCTTTGAGACAGTGGGAACCAGTCATGAGGACAGGCAGGAGGGTTTCCATTGTGAGCAAGGAGAAGGGCAGAGCTGGGGGGGGGCGGTTTCAAAGATTCCCCAGCAAATCTTCCTTCTGGTCACATCCCCCAGAGCAGCAGGTGGCAGGGACAACAGGCAGAGGAGCTGTGTGTCCCTTTAAAACGCATCCAGATTGCCCTGATCATTAAAATGATGCTGTTAGGCTTGGGCTGAGGAGACTGCAAAGGATGAGACCGTGCGGAAGCACCCCCCCCTTTTTTTTTGTTTGTTTGTTTTTTTGCTTTTTGGGTCACACCCGGTGATGCACAGGGATTACTCCTGGCTCTGCACTCAGTAATTACCCCTGGAGGTACTCCGGGGACCATATGGGATGCTGAACCCAGGTTGGCTGCGTGCAAGGCAAACTCCCTACCTGCTGTGCTATCGCTCCAGTCTTGGAAGCCCCCGGTTTGACCCCCAGCACCACATGGCCCCCACCCGGCACTGCCAGGTGTGGCTGCCCCACCCAGAGCTAAACTCTGTAATTCATATGGGAAAGGGATAGGTTTGTGGGAAGGGGTGATGGGCCAGACCTAGAGTGCTAAGGGGTACTCCTGGCAGTGCTCAGAGGACCTTTACGGGGTGCCGGAAATTGAACCCTAGTCAACTTAACTGTGTGCAAAGCTAGTGCCTTACCCTCTGTACTATCTCTCCAGCCCCTTAATCAAATCTTTTCTTAAAAAAGCAAACCTTGGGGGCTGGAGCGATAGCACAGCAGGTAGAGCATTTGCCTTGCACGTGGTCAATCTGGGTTCAGTTCCCAGCATCCCTTATGGTCCCGGAGCACTGCCAGGGGTAATTCCTGAGTGCAGAGCCAGAACTGACCCCTGTGCATCGCCAGGTGTGACCCCCCCCCAAAAAAAAAGAAAAGAAAAAGCAAACCTTGGGACCAGAACAATAATGCAGTGGGTAGGGCATTTGTTTTGCATGCAGTAGACCTGGGGCTGGAGCGATAGCACAGTGGGTAGCAGGTAGGGCGTTTGCCTTGCACGCAGCCAACATGGCCGAACCGAGTTCGATTCCTCCACCCCTCTCGGAGAGCCCGGTAAGCTACTGAGAGTATCTCGCCCGCACGGCAAAGCCTGGCAAGGTACCCGTGACGTATTCCATATGCCAAACACAGTAACAACAAAGTCTCACACTGGAGA